AATGATTCTTAATTCTATGAGAGGTCAATTAGAGATAATGAAAAAGAATGAGGAGCGTCTTGAGGAGGGAAGGAGAAGAAAAGAAGAGTTAGAAAGCCAATTGTCACCCTTGATGCTTGTTTGTGAAAAATCCCAATTTAATGTGTGTGTTGAGGATGATGATGATTATTTTGAGCAACCAAGAGAGTGTGAGGATCCCATTGTTGAGCATATGAGTGATGGTGAAGGAGTTGAGAATGAAGAGAGTGTTGATTTTGAAAATCCTAACCCTTTTTCCCATCTTGATGAGTCTCAAGTGCATGATTGTGATCCTTTTATCCATGAGTATTTGGATTCATTTAAGGTTATGTCTAATGTGTTTATTGAGTGTCAAATGAAAACCCATAGCCTTTTGAGTGAGTTCATTAAGAATGCTTCATGGGAGAGAGACCATTTTGAAATGAATTTGCATCCATTCATGCATGACTTTGAGATTTTAGGCTTTAAGGAAGTTGAGGGAGTTGTTGGTCATGATTGTAGTGAAGGGGATTATGTAGTTCCTCTTGGAAGTTGGATGTTTGAGGGAGATCATGATCATGAGTGTTCTTCTTTTGAGGATTCTATGATTGATTTTCATGCTCAAATTGGTGATTTGAGGAATGGTGGTGAAGAAGAGACCATTTGTAAGACCATTGCTCCTATCCCCTTCTCTCATGTCCCTTTTTCAAGGAATTTCAACCATATCCCCTACACTCCTATATCCCTTCCTTCCTTTGTTAATGAGCCTATTGGGGACCCCCTTGCCTATGAAGATTTTTATGTCCCTCATTCGTCTTCAATTGAGGAAAAGGGTGATTTTGCCACCCAAAAAGATTTTTGTGAAGAGAGTTTGCCTTTCTATTCTTCTTCTTATTTTCTTGAATTTTCTTTTGATTCTTCTTCTTCTTGGAAACTCCCTCTTCACCTTCTTTTGCGTGCACTAATCTTGGTGCATGCCCTTCTTATATCATTTGCTTACTTGTTATCTTATGAGATGTGTAGTAGTGCATTTGACAAGCTCTTGCGATCGTTGCAATATTATTTACTAGAGCGGTCAAGCTTGGACCTTAAGCAAGCCTTTCTCGGGAAGTAACCCGTGTTTTATTGCTTTCATTTTATTTTCTTTTTAGAATAGTTTTTGGCCTCATGGGAATGTTTGTGTGCTTGGTGCTAGGTACATAACTTAATATACTCTTATGCATTGGTTTGGATCAAGAATCAAGGAAGTTTGACTCCACTTTTGCTAGCACATGGAAAACAAGATTCAATTTTAGAGGTAGTCGGCTTCAAGAAGGTTTAATTGGGTCATTTGCGAGTACTATACCCACCTAATATCCGGTAATATCCTTCCTTGCTCTTCCTCTAATGATTTGTGACTTGTTGGACATATGTTGGTTGGTTGGATGACTTTCTTTCTTTTCTCCTCCCATGGATTCTTTGGTTTAAAGTTTGAGCATGTTGCCTCATTCAAGCTTGGGGGAGGGTATTCTATCATGTTTGGTGGAATTTTGATTCATATATGCCATGCACATTTGTATATGCTTTTCCATTTTCTATGTCTTGAAAATCACAAAAAGATTTTTGTTTCTATCAAGGCAAATTTGCAATGTATTTTCTTTTGTTCTTGCTTTGGACATAATACTTTTGGTCTTGTATTCTTGAATGCCTTTCTTCCTAAATTTTAGAGGTGTGCACGGTTTGAGAATGTGTTAGGTTGACTCTAGGATATGGTATGCTAAGGTAGTTGGCTAAGAACTTTGGGACCATGAAGCTCTAGTTCACTTGCTTGTGGTAAGATGGAGTTGCTCTCTATAGTGGATATGAAATCAAGAGTTAGTTATTGCTATCCCTAGTGATGTATAATTGTTCTAGCCTTCATCATACTTTGTTGAGCGGCATATTTGGATCCTTGGCTATTGCATTCTCATATCTAGAACTTGACTTTTAGCTCCCAAGATCGCGACTGAGCCACTTTAGGGGATGACAAAGACATTTGTCTTTTTATAGGATTAATTTTCAATTTTGGATTTGGTTTGCAATTGCCCCTATTACTAGCCCATTTGAGCCATATACATTCTTTTCTCTAACCTTAATACAAGCCTTCTAGCCTTAGTTTCACTTTAAATCCTACCTTTAGTTTGTGAAGCAATTTTGTTTTGGAGCTTGTTTTATTGTTTATGGTGCAAGTTTAGAATTATGAGTTCATTTGCAAAGCAAGTATGTGTTGTATATAATTTTTTGCATAAAACCAAATACATTTTGAGAAAAAAGCCGTCCAAAGTTAAAAGAGGCAAGGACATTTCTTAAAAAAAAAAAAAAAAAAAAAAAAAAAAAAGCTTGGAAAAAGGAATTATTGAAAAAAAAAAACAAAAAGTAAAGAAGAATGTAAAGCACAAAAAAAAAAAACAAAAGATAAAAAAAAGAAAAATAAAAATAAAAAATAAAAAAATAAAAAAAAAAGAAAAAAAAAAGTAAAAAAAAAAATAATAAAAAAGAAAAAAAAAAGAAAAAAAATAAAAAAAAAAAAAGAAAAAAAAAATAAAAAAAAAGAAAAAAAATAAAATAAAATAAAAAAAAAAAGAAAAAAAAAAGAAAAAAATTGTCACCCTTGATGCTTGTTTGTGAAAAATCCCAATTTAATGTGTGTGTTGAGGATGCTTGATGATTATTTTGAGCAACCAAGAGAGTGTGAGGATCCCATTGGTGAGCATATGAGTGATGGTGAAGGAGTTGAGAATGAAGAGAGTGTTGATTTTGAAAATCCTAGACTCAAGCAATCAAAAACAATCAAGCATTGACACCGTTCCCCGGCAACGGCGCCATTTTGACGGGGCGTTAGAACGGTCGCACATTCCACACTCAATCAAATAAATTTATAAATCCTAAAACTAACCCCTAAACAAGTCTAGTGGTAAGTTCGGAGTCGAACCACAAGGAACGGTAATGCTAGATTGTTCTTAATCTAATGCCTAAGCTATGCCGAAGTCGATTTACGGATAAAGGACACTACAACTACACTAAAACACATATAAAGAACAAGGTATGATAAAGTCTACTAGGGGAAAAGATCCACTTAGAACAATTAATAAGCTAATGAGAATCCATTTGATAATCAATCATGCAAAGAAAGAATTATAATGAGAATTAACTACACTCAAAAGTAATCTCTCAAATTCCTAGCCTAGATCCCTCATTGACTAGGTGCATAGAAGAAAATTACCCAAAATGCAATCAAATATATCAGTTCTAATTCACAATCCCTTGTCAAACTAAAACCAATATGCAATTAAGTGTGCTATCATGGGAGATCAATCCAATCTAAAACAAACAACATGCCAACATCAATTCAATCAATTTAATCACACAATTATCATCAAATTTATCTCAAATAACTCAAATAATCATTACAAAGTCTCACTCAGCACCTAGTAGAAGGGAAACTACTCAAGCATAATGAAAGCAACTAAATAAAGCAATAAGAGAAGAGAAAGTAAGAAATGCTCATTGATATAAGGTGGAGATCTTCAAATTCCTCATTTGATTATCCAAAATCCATGAAAACCATTGTGCTCCTCACTTTCTCTCTCTAAAATTTTGAGAGTTTCTCTCTCTAAAACCTAAAACTAACCTAAAATCTATTCTAAACTGAAAAATCTCTCTCTTTTGTTAATGAGCAAAAAAAAAAAAATCTATTTATACCCCTTACAAAATTGCTTAGGAAGCTCCGCAAAAAATCAGCTGAAACGGGAAAAGGTCCGACCGAACTCTGTGTAGGTTCGGTCGGACTCAGGGTAGGTTCGGCCGAACTCAGGGTAGGTTCGGTCGAACCTCCCTGATCCTTGTTTGGTCGAACTTTCCTGGTTCGACCCCTCCTGTAAACATGCTGAAAACTTGGTTGAAACTGCCTTGGAGGTTCGGTCGAACTTTTCAAAAGTTTGACCACACCTTGGTTCGACCGAACCTCTTAAAGGTTCGGCCACACCTCCTCTTGAACTTCCTCTTCTTCCCTTTTGCTCCTCTAGTCTTTGCCCATGCCTCCATACTTGGCCAAGGGGCCTCCTACCGTGCTTAGGACCGTCATGGAACCTGCAAAAGATAGCAAAGATCACGAGAGCATGGGGATGATAAAATTATGCATAAAGATTATCAAAACAAGCGCAAATAAGCATACTTTTCATCCATAAAAGAAAAGGAAGCCATAAGAGGAGAAAAGAGGTAGAAAACCTAAGAAAAACAGGAGAAAAGAGACCAATACACTACCCCTAAGGGTAACATAAATGTCACTCATCAAACACCCCCAAGCTTAACTTTTGCTCATCCTCGAGCAAAACAAAACAAACACAACGGAAAACGATGTATATTTTTTTTTTTTTTTTAAAAAAATAAATAAATAAAATCAGAATGTTCTTTTGATTCATACACTATGTTATTTTGTTTCATACACTATGTTCTTTTGTTTCATACTCTATGTTCATTGGATTCATACAGTATGTTATTTTGAGTCAAACAACATTATGTTTATATGATAACAGGAGGTTTAATAGTATATTTCTTTATATTAAGTGTATGATAATATTATAATGTTTTATAGTATGTTTTTTGAAATCACATAGAATGCTCTTTGATGTATAATACTATTTTAAGGTCAATTATAAAATGAATTATATAATTATTAAAGTTAGTGATAGGTAAATTTTAAAAAATAAAGATATAACAAACAAAAATTGTATATTGAATTACGTGAAAGACTAATGTCATTTATTACAAGATTTCAAGGTAATATACTTTGAAAAATAAAGGTATTGTTTGAAGGAATCAATGAATTATGAATATAATGGTTAACGAAATGTATTCTCCAAACCCAATTACGTTGAATATAAACCCTACAAAAAAAATTAAATAAAAAAAATAAGTAATGATCCAATGAAATTTAAATTTTAATATTAAATAACTAAATTTAGTAACAAAATTGTTACCTGTTATTATGTAAATGGTGTAACATGTACTTCAAAATATTCATCAGGTTCAAAATACTCAATTGAACCACCAAACAAAGAAGAATGAGCCAATGTATTTCCTTCAAGAACTGTTAAAGAGTCCTACACATGTAAGGAAGATTATTAGAAATCAATACTTTATAAATATCATAGATTGTAAATGAAAAGAACAAAAAAAAAATACAAATATAAATGTAAGGAACATACTTTTTAAAAAACAAAATAAAAAATGAGTAAAAGAACATAAGTGGAATTTAGAATGAACATTCATCTTCAACCTTATTAAAAATATAAAGAACATGTAAGGAACCTTATTAAAAATATAAAGAACATTATGAATAAAATTAAAGAACATCATTACAAATATAAATTACCTTTATTGTATCTTGTGCTTTCTTTTTTATTATAGACACACCCTTTGCACTTTTCTTCTTCCATGACTTAATCTTCTGCCCTTTTAGCTTGTTGCATATTTTTTCTTGTGTGCTCTTAAGTCGGATGTTCTTTTGTCCTTTCTTCCTCCTTCTAATGGGGTCTTTTACCATACATTCCTTCTCATTTTCAATGGGTTTTTCAGCAGATGTTGGTGAGTCTTGAAAGACATTAGCTTGAATCACATCTTGTGGCTCTAATAGATTACCACTTTCCAAGCATTGGGCAGCAGCTTGAGCATCTGTGTTATCATCATTTTCTTTCCCGTGACCCTCTTCATTTCCATCTTTTCTCAACAATATTTCAATTCTACTAGCACACTCATTAATAGCTTCTTCAATTACATTACGAGTGCTTAAATCATGTTGTCCACGATCAATTAAACGAATGAAAGTCCTTACATATTGTAGTATCCAAACACTTGAAGGTGTCACACCATCTTTTTCAGCAACATGGTCATCCACCTTAGTGCACATAGCTGCCTTAGTCCACCTTTTCAAGATATATCTTTTTGGTATGTAGGTCACATTGTTGAGATGAAGAACACGAAGGGTATGCTTGCAAAGTAACCCAACTTCACCAAAGTACTTACAAGTACAATCAACCGTAACCTCTGACTCATCAAAAGTTACCGTGTGTGCAATCAAGTTCCTTTTGGGATGTCCAACATGATACTCGTAAAGAGGAGGCTGCATTGCAATAACCCTAGCGGTGCATGGAACACCATTTACAAAGTTATCTTCAAATTGAAGATACATTTGAATGGTGTAAATTCTTCTAGCATGCTCCAACAGACCAACATCAGCCCAAACCAAATGACGATTTCCCGTGATACTACCGTAATCATGGTCATTTTCTTTTCTCCTCCACTCTTCAACAACCTCAATGAAAGTCTTGTAAAAATCACATAAACCATGGGTGAAGTGAAGTCTACGTGAAACAGATTTATTTCTTGTTTCACTCCTTTGAGAAGAAAGAATTCCTCCACTAAAATAGTCTTTTGAATATGCAGGACACCACATCTCCCGAATGTTATGCAAGTTGTTGAGCCATTTGTTATCATTGCACTTGTATTTGGTAAGCATGCTGCATATTAACAACAAAGAACATAATCATGAATGCAAATGAACATAATATTGGACCATAAAGAACAGACAATTTAAATAGGAAGTACATTGGTATAATTAGAATCTTATATAGAAGAAAGAACATATAATGAAAAAAAATGTTTAAATTAATATATAAAGAACAGTGCAAATTAATCAAAGAGCACACTTAACCAATGAAGAGAAAATATGTTATTTAACAAAGAACATAAAAGTAAACAATAAAGAACATAATGGTGATGATTAATGATCATGAGTCTAACTAGAAAAGAACATATATTATTTTAGAGCAATTATAAATTGTGAGATATTAAAGGTTACCTGGACCAATAATGCTCAAACTCAGCCATTGTATCAGTGTACTTCAAAAAAATATCAAATAAATCATTGAAACCTTCCTTTGCTCTTAGTCCCTTGATGTTCTTTTTAGCATTCTCTCCAATGTGCCAAGTACATAATCGATGACGACTATTAGGAAATACAATCCTAATGGCTTTAGCCATTGATTGAGCTTGGTCGGTCATTATAGTGATTGGATGTTTGTCACCCATTGATCTCAAAAAAGTGTTGAATAGCCACTCAAAAGACTCCCACTTTTCATTGATCACAAATCCAATACCAAACATGACATTCTTGTTATGGTGATTCATGCCAACAAAAGGACCACATATCATACCGTATTTATTTGTCCGATATGTAGTATCATGTACCAAAAGATCTCCAAATGCATCATAATCAACTTTCATCCTACTATCACAAAAGAAAAAGGACTGTAGATGACCTTTTTCATCAACATCAAAATCATAGTAAAAAACATACTCCTTTGACTTCCTTTCTTTAAAGTAAGAAATCAATTGTTTTGTGTCACAACCATCAAAATTCTTTTTCTTTTCCCCACTCAAAGCAACATAAAGATCTCTTTGAAGAAAACTAAGATTGGCTTCACAGCCAGCTTGATCCCTTATAACACGATATGCATCAGCAATAGGTATACCATTTTCAGACAAACTAGTAACCATGGCAAGCTGATCACCACTAACCTGTATATAGTATATTTTAACACATGTTCATTATCGTTTCACGTAATGTACATTGAAACAAATCATAATGTTCTTTGTCATATATACATGTACATTAATTCTGAATTAGAAAACTGAGCAACAGAAAATCATATTCATTATCATTTTACACATTGTACATTGAAATAAAACCATAATGTTCTTTTCCATATATATACATGTACATTAATTTTGAATTATAAAAATGAGCAGAAGAAATGAATGCACATTGCAAAATTACAAAATGTTCATTTAATATATGAATTATGTTCATTAAAATAATATATAATGTTCACTAACCTTTCTGTGAGATCTTATCAAATGTCTCTTTGAAACGGGAACCCTACTGTGATTATGCTCCATTTCATGTTTCACCACGCAATATAAACCAGACTCCTTATCAACATCAAACTGGATGTATGCTTTGCAACCAGTACGAAAATCCCTTTTTTGGTACAAAACATCACTCTTTATTTTTTTGAAACCAGCATAAGAACATGTTAAAAATCGCTGCCTTACTGTCTTATCATTCCTTGTTTTTTTTATCTCCTTTACGTGTACCGAATCCATGCTTAAAAGCATATGAATTGTATAATTCACAAGCTTCTTCATCAGACTTCACTTTTCTAAAAAGTAACTCTAAACTAGTAGATTCTGTGAAGCCTAAATATAAATGAATATTGTAGTTATATTAAATGTATATTATAATAAAGATAAATATAACTTTGATGTAATGCTCATTGTATAATATTATAAAGAACATAAAGTTTAAATCAAATGTACATAATGTAATACAATAAAGAACATTGTAACTATTATAAACGGACAAAAAAGAAATTCAGTAAAAGTACATAATTGCAATTTAGAATGAACATCATCTTCAACCATTGTATAATTAATGAAAAAAAAAACCAGAGCAGAATGAACATAAATGCAATTTAGAATGAACATCATCTTCAACCTTTGTATAATTCAAAAAATAACAGAGCATAAACTAATGCAATAATTATTGATTAAAATTTAACATAAATACAATAACAAGGTCAGGATTCAATTCAATTATATATATATTTAGCAATTAATTAATAATTTGCATAAAATTCAATAAAATTTCCAATTACATTCATCAAATTCAATAAAATTACAAAATCAATGAGAAAAATATATTTACCTTTTCCTTCGATTACAATATCATGAAATTCACCACCATCATCATTCTCATGATCATCATCACTGGCAAATCGACGATCGAAATCATGTTTAAATTCATGAGCAGCCATTTTCTCTCTCCAAAAACTTGAAATTCTCTCTCTATCAATGAAGTTCTCTCTCTAGAATATTCTCTCTCTAGAAATTCATATCTAAATTGAAAATGTGATTTCTAATTTATGAACATCCTAATTCAATCAACATATATATGGAAAGACCCTCTTACGTAATTCACGTAAAGCAGAGGTAAAAAAAAAAGAAAGAAAGAAAGTAGCTGCTGTGATTTTCAAAGAGATGTACCAAGCAGCATACCACCTGCTGTATGGTAAAATTTTCAGGAAATCAGTAGTGTATGTGTTCATATTTTTGCCTTTTATTTTTAATGATGCGTTCTTTCTTCCTGTTTTTAAATTGTTGTACTCCATATTAGTTTTCCCTTATTAGGCTATGTTCGTTAACAAAAAACAACTTTTTAGGAAAATGATTATTTTACATGTAAAATAACTTTCAAGGAAAAAACACAATGGTAAAAAAAAGTTTTTCTTTTATTTATTTTTTTACAAGAAAAGAAGGGAAAATAGGAGGGAAAAAACACAATTGTAAAAATAGTTTTTTTTTTTTTTCTTGCAAGAAAATTTATATAGGAATAATGGGAGGATAAGATAGATGAGATGAGAGGTAGGAGGAAAATGCAACGAAGAAAACATTTTCTACTCTTTGAAGAACTATTTTCCACCTTTGGAAAAAAAAAATTTCAAATGACTTTCCACCTTTGAAAAAATTATTTTCCATCCCTTTACTAACCAGAATGGAATGTTAAATACGGGTGTGGACCGCACCTGGAAACTAAGAGAAAGAGACTACTTCACAACATCAAAGAGGGTCCCATCCCAAAATCATATGACAATAGAAGAAGTGATACTTAATGTTATTACGGGCCCAAACTTTGGGCCTAACAATATACTCTGGCTCTAATACCATGTTAAATACAGGTTTGGGCCGCACCCGTAAACAAAAAGAGATTGAAAGTCCACTTCACAAGTTCAAAGTAGGTTATATCCCAAAATCATATGGCAATAGAAAGAGTAGCCTCTTAGCGTTATAAAGTGTTTAACTTTCTCTTCGATCTTTTCTCAATGTGGAACACTTACATGTGTTATTTGGTAGGATATACTTCAACATTGAAAGACCCAAAATATTTTCGGTCAAATTAAAACCCTCAATCACCTAGAAATTATTCTTCTTTATCTTCTAACTTTTCTCGTATATTATACTTCGTACAATTTAGTAATTACTTTACTAACCTCAATTCTAAAATTATTTTGCACTTGTTCTCCTTAGGGTCTGTTCACTTCAGCTTAGTTTCAATTCAGTTCAGCTCAGTTCAGTTCAGTTCAGTTCACTTAATTTTAAGTGGAAACAATAATGAAAATGCACTTAATTAATTTTGTTTACATACTAAATTAGTACGCATGCATAGGCATAAACTTAAGAAGGTATTTAGATAATATAAGTTTTGTATGTTAAAAGTATAAAGTGGGGGTATATAGATATACGAAGGTAACAAAGGGTTTCCAGCTCTGATAAGAGAGGGAGCATTTCAAGCTTTTATGATCTCGAACATATTGGCAATGTGCTTGTCAATGATGGTCTTATTTTGCTTGCTTTGGGTCATCGCTACGACGGATAAAAGCAAATCAGTGGTGTTAATGGATTTCAGCCTGTTATTACTACTATTATCATTATACGCTACTTTGGTTGCTTTCATGATGGGAGTGTATGTTACAACCATCCACACCAAACCCTGGATTGCCGTCATTACTTTAGTTCTGTGCTCTTTGTTAATGCTGCTCATGCACAAAAAGCTCGTCATGGACTGTTTGGTTCCTGCTGTTAAAAAAGGACTGATATGGTTTGGTCCGGTAAATTTGAAATTGAAGAATGGTTTATGGTTTTGCCTAACCTGGCCTCTAAGACAGAGAAGTGATTCAATTGAATTAGATGATTGATTAATGATGATCACCATCCATCTGGGCTTAACTTCCTTCTCAACTTAAATGAAATTACTTCTAATCGTATTTTCTTAATGTTTTTATTATTTGTCGGGAATTTATACAATCATATTCCTTCTTAATCTATTTTTACATTTCTTTTGCATTTCCTACCAAAAATAAAAGATAATCCGTATTGTACGGAGTAACATTTTTGTGTGATTTTATTCTATAAAAACTTAAATATTATAGAAAACATCAAGTTTACTTATTATTCATTACTTAATTGATATATCAATGATTTCCTTTGTCTCCATTAATCTTCCTACTTTTGTAATTTATTTGAAATCTAGAATGTGCGAGAGTTATAAAAAAGTAGGTTTATATTCTTTAATTTTGAAAGGAAATACTTGTATATATAAAGTTATTTATGAACATTAATACTTATTATTTAATAGGTAAAATTGGCCTCAACACTCTAAACTATTGCTTAAGTGCACACAACACCCTATACTTTGCGTAGTAGCTAAAACACCACAATCTAATGACTTGGGTGCAAGACACACCTTTAATGTGTTTTCCAACCACCTTTCTCACTGGAGCCAGTAAGTTAAAAAAAAAATTATTTTTTATTGGCGTGGAGAAAAATGTTCCCTAAATTTCGAAGCTCGTTTAATCCTTAGGAATCCAAATTAAGATCAGAATAAGCAAAAAAAAAAAAATAAAATAAAATAAAAAATATATATATATATAAAAAATGTAAATGATTCTTTTTACGTGTTGACTCCGTGACCGTAGCTAGTATGAGATCTCATCTAACTCCTAGTTTTTGAAAAGTATTTGAAATAAGAGATTCGTAGATCAGACGACCTATAGAAAAGTGCACGACTAATACCCCGTGTACCCCAACCCTGATTGTCATTACTCTAGATGTGCACAAATCCAGAGTTTTATTGCTCATCCATTTTGCACTTTACGTGATTTACAAATTTAGACTTGGGGATGACTAGTATACAAAACAATACAATCAATCCAATATCAATTCAATCAAATAAAGGAAGTTTCCGATTTCAATTCTTGATTTATTAGTGACAAGCGATATTTATTATTGACTCCATTAACTACTTCGGTGTATAAACACCTTGAGTGCATAAAACACCCCACAATCTTAATCTCGTCTTATATGACTTAAATTCTTCCTTTACTCATTATATTTCAATAATCATGGACGAATAGTAAATAAATCATTTCACCAAATCACATACCTTTACCTCTAAGCGTATCTCGCAACATTAATGCAAAAATAATACTTACAATATAGAATAGTGCACAAATATAATCAAATCACAATGTATAATCAATAAAAAAAAAAAAAATCCCCTTTTCCTCAAAAGAAAAAATAAAAATTAAAAAGCTTAAAGTCCACCAATTCCCGCGATCTTTAATCTGAAACTGAAAAAGCTTTTGAGTCCACCACACCACCACCACCACCACCATACCGTGTGTTCACATAATTTGTTTTTCTCATTTTCATTCAAAACTTTTCCCCCATTTTCTCTCTCCTCCATTCGCAATCTACAAATCATCACTTCACCCCTTTGTCTTCTGAGATTTCTCACTCATCAAACAGTTTAACCCTAATTCTCTCAAATTCGGTCTTCAAATACTCTAATTTCCCCCCTTTTACAATCGATTTGATCACGCAATTGGTTTCTCAATTGAGCTAGGGTTTCGAATGTTGTAATTGAAGCGAAAAAAAATATGGCAAGAGTTCTCGATAATTGGGAACGCCTTGTTCGAGCTACTCTCCGGCGAGAGCAGCTTCGGACTGCTGCTCCTACTCATGAGCGCCACCCTAGCGGCCTCGCTGGAGCTGTTCCGCCTTCGCTCGGTCGTGCTTCCCATATTGATGCTATTTTGCAGGCTGCTGACGAGATTCAAGATGAGGATCCTAATGTTGCTCGCATTTGTATGTTTTTCTTTCTCATTTCTTGTCAATTAATGGTATTTTATGATTGCGAATTCGTGTTTTTATGATTTTTGATGCTTTTGCTTGATATAGTGTAGTTTTTGGGAATTCATGATATTGAGTGATTAACAATTGCGTAGATGTAGATAAAATTGTGGTATGTTTTAAAAAATCTTCTTGTTGGTACTTTTTTTGAGCAAAACTTGAATAGAAGTTATAATTAAGACCTGCAAAGTGTTGGATATCAAGCAGAACGTCTTCGGTGATTACATGAGCCGGCCTATGTGACTCTGTGAGAATGAGTGAGCTGGTGGCTTAGTGTGGACTTTATGATTTGATGCTTTACTGAGTTACAAACATGACGTCGTATGATTACGAGAAAAGGTGGAAAGGAATGGAGAGGCAAAAATATTGATTAGACATCCTATAGTCGGGAGCATCGTAGCTAATATGTACAATATTTGGATTTGCTTGAAAGCATGGTATGTTAAGAATGGGCTGTTTTTACCACTCTCATTCCTTATAAAGCTGGTAAAGCTTTTTATAATTTACACTCATGGTGCTGTCACTGACCTAAATGGTATCACTTTTGAGTCTTTTACCTCGATGAGAGTCATTACCTTATCCCTCATCTTGACGGTTGACGCTAGCACCTAGTGGCCTAGTGGGTGGTATCCGGGAAAGGTTTGACGATTCTTACTGCGTAAGGCTCAAGCATTCACTTGATGTGAGCTGTTGTGATTACCAGCCTCCTTAACCTTTGTGCTAATAAGTGTTGTGATTGGTATTTCTAGCTGAAAAACCAAATGATTTCTCCATGTCCATGAGAATATTGGTAGTGACAGATTCCTTCTTTTAGAGGTCACAACATTTTGTTTCCCTTCAAATGACGTGGTAGGAGTGTCAAATAGGTGTGAAATTAGTGGACTCAAAATCCATATGCCTTAGAAGAGTCAGAACATACAATAACATTGTGGATGATTCTCCCTTACAAGTTACAACCTTGCTTGTCATTTTTGTTCCCTTATCATATTCTTTCCATTAGCCTTACTTCAAAGTAGATCTTTATATTCCAATCAAGTTCTTAAGGATCAAATCACCTCCAATCAAA